GTGACGGACACCCACAGCCTCCACCCAAACCCTGACCCAGCTGTGCTGTGGGGGGCCTGGCTCTCCCCTCCATCCCCCCCTGCCTTACCTCTGCTTCTCCAGGACCTTTCCCAGCCATCACCTCCCACTTGCCCCAGGGTGGGAGGCTTGTGGTTGTGCCAGTAGCACCCAAGGGTGCTCCCCTGGGAGTCGGTGCATGCCAGAAACCCGGGGCTGGGTGCGTGCCACCCGCCCGCCCCGGCCCCTCATTAGGACTCAGGTTAAAACTACACCCAGCGCCGAGTCTGGTAATAACCCACGTGCCAGGGCCAGGATGTGCTGCCCAGCGGGGACCGCATCCCCTCAGTCCTGTGTGTGTCCCCCCTGTCACCCCCAGAGACAGCAGCACAGACAGCACTCACAGCTATGCTTTAATAAAACTAGTAAGGGGAAAAAATCAACAGCAAAATTTAGATCAAGATCCAGCTGCCGACTTGTCCTACCACGGCAAGGACTGGCCAGGTCACAGTATTTGCTGCCCGCAGCCCACAGGTGACAGGGAGGAGGAGTGGCCGCTTCCCCCAGCCCAGCAGAGTAAGGTGGGGCTGCTGCCTCCGAGGTTTTACTGCTGGTGATGCCTCTCCACTGGAAAGAGGTGCCAGGGGAGACCCTGAGCAATTGGGGTTGGCCCAACGGGCAGAGCTGACAAGCTATGCTGCCACTGGGGGTTTCCAGCTCCAACCTCCCCACCACATGCTGCCAGTAATGCACAGCTTCAGAGCAAGAGCCCTCCGTGATCCCCCACGCTCCCCACCATCACCTCCTCCTCCCTGGCTCCATCTTTCCCAGAATCAAACCCACAGACACCCCATAACTGTGATGAGGGTGATTCCCAATACATGTCCCTTGGCACAGCCCCTCCCAACAGCAGCAGCCCAAGATTTTGGCTCCGTTTTAGTCACAATTTAACGACTTGCCCCCAGATCCAGAGTTCCCCAAGTCCCGGGGCTGCGGGTCACGGCCCTCCATCACAGAGCCCATGCTGGCCCCGCTTCCTCCATCCCATGCTCTCAGCACTTAGCACCAGTACTGTGCAGCCAGCATTTGCCAAAGCAACCTCCCCTGGCTGCTCTTCTCTGGGACAAGCCCACTCCTCCTCTCACGGCAGACACACATCTCAGGGACACCTCGCTGGTGGCCAAGAGGCCTGTTTGTGCGGGAGGGGAAAAGGCCACAGTGGCGTGTGGTTGTTCCTCCCAGGGGAGAGGGGCTGGTGTCCCCCAGTCCTCGTGCTCCCAGCACCAGTCCATGTCTCTCCTTTCAGACTGAGGAAGAGACCTGCCAGGTTCATGGCTTCTTGGAGGCTCCCAGGTCTACTTCTGGAGCTTTCTTGGCTAAAAGCGCCTTCTCCTCCTTCATCTTCTTCAGCTTGACCTTATTTTTGCCAGAGGACGAGAAGGTGAGCGAGGCCTTGCTGAACTCCAGGGGGAAGACACCCACATCCCCATCGAAGCGATTCTTGGACACTTGAAGGTATCGCCTCCCTGGTCCCGTCACCAGCTTACGGTCCTGCAGGATGAGGACGTTGTCGGCCTCCTGGCTGGCCTGGAGGGAGGAAAACATCTCCAAGAGGGTGCTGGGGATGCAGCCAGAGTCACGGGGCTCAGAGGTGCTCACAGGACGCCTGCCTGGCTCCTTCGAGTCCTGTTATGGGGCATCCCAGGCCATAGCAACTCCGGCATCTCCCCGACACCAATCCCTTGTGTTCCCCCCGCGACATCCCAGTGACCTGCCGGGCTGAGACAAGCTTGAGCTGAAGCCACAGCACGCCCTGGGGAAACCAGGGAGCACGGGGAGAACCATGCACACCCACAGACCACCTCCTTCCCACCACCATGGAGTCATCAGGCAACATAGCAGAGACCAGAGCACTCAAACAGCCCATCCCTGCACCCTCCCTGGCTCCTGCTTTAATTATCTCCTACCACCTCCCACTTGTAGTCAATAAGCATTAATTAACTAAAAGCCCTGACACAGCTTTAGCTGGCAAAGGATTTAGTCCCGGTCTCCATCTCCCTACAAAGGCTCAGCCAAATCGGCACTCTGCACATCTTCAGCAGGTGACAAGAGTGCTGGTGGGAGCTGGGGACAGCTGCCCAACGTATCCCAGTCCCTTCCTGGGGACAGGAAGGGCCACCATAACCCATCTCACCTTGGCAGAGCCAAAGATGGAGGCGGTCTGCAGCTCCTTATCATCATCCTCCTTGCGTGGATGGATGATCAGTGTGATGTGGCAGGTGTTGTCTGTGGCAAACTTGCGGAAGGCACCAACAATGTAGTCCTGGGCAGCGAGCCTGCCACGGCAGCAAGAAAGGGGGTCAGGGGCCAGCGTTGCTCAGTGCCAGGTGGGCAGCAAGGTGCTGCCAGGTTCAGCCCCACAGCAGGAAGTGCCCAGGGATCTAAATTCGCACTCTGTGGGATGGCCAGGCCCACGTGAGCAAAGGAATGAGGAACAGGTATCACAGGTAACTGGCTCACTCTTCCCCATCTCTACCTCCCCAGTGCAGTGATCGCCCTTCAAGAGAACAGGGCTGCCAGCAAAGACTAGAGGGAATACCCTGTGTGGGTCCCCAGCCCCTGTTGTGACATCTGACTGGGCCAGCTCCAGCAACAAGGACGGCAGAGGAAGGAGAGGGTAACTGGGAGAAGGGCTACCTGTCCACAGAGAGGTGCTCGTGTCCCATCATGAACTGGAGGTTGTCGACGACCACGTGGGTGATGTCGTACATGTAGACAGCGTGCTGCATGGTGTCAATCACAGTCCTGGGCAGGAGAAGACGGGGATCAGTGGAGCTGGGGATGTGGATGCTGAGCCAGGAATGGGAACAGGGAGAGGCAGAGCTGGGAGGTACCACGCTGG